CGAATCATATAGCACTTTAGAAAGCAATTTTTTCCCCTTTCCTTGACCTGTACTTACATTTTGAGGATGAGCCAACAAATTTACACTTGTTGGAAGAAATCAGAGAGAGTAGAGACCTTTTGTAGTACCACTATGAGTTGTACTTACATAAAAATTCAGTAGAGGGCAGAATGAAACTTGTGAACCAATGAGCCCACATAGCACTGCAAAGCAGGGAGATCAGAGTTAACAGATGTAATAGCACCGTTATTAAAAATATAGTTCTGAAGAGCAGAAAGTACTACAAATGAAATGATTGAGATACTTTCTTTTAAAAGCATCTGAGAGAGCATTCACACTTTCATACAATTAGCTGCATGCAAGCTTAAGATCTAATGCTTTCCAACACAGAGGAAAACAGAGTTTCCTGGCATATTAACTGGATGCGGATCAGCTATTAAGGCTCCTGTTTAGCATTCCAGATGTATAATTCAACACACAGGCATTGCATTAGGTTCTCCTGATTTGTCTTCTGAATCCAGTGTTCAGACTTTATACATGTCTACAAGATCTTTCATTCTTCCTAACGCTACTTCCTCTTGTCCGTTTTAATACTTGAGTGTCAGAAGACTGTAGTAGTAAAGATTGTTCTGTGTGCAAGTACCTTATGAGGGTTTTTTCTACTTTCTTGACTTTGGTAAGTTTGTTTTAACAAGATCAATAGCAGTTTAGATAAAATTAGGGTAAAAAAGTTGTTGGCTTCTCTCCACTTATATCACTATTGAATTGTAGTAGTATGATCAACTTAAAAAATTATAGCATTTACTAAGTGAAGATATTATAGAGGTTAGATATGATAGAGGTAGGGTGGAGCTATTGTTTTAGGGTAATTTGTCTGGGAGAGTTTACTGTACATTTGTTTTAACGTGATTTTTTACCAAGATTTAAATAAATTTCACCATGATTTATTTAGCATTACTCCCTTTAACCTGAAATGTGGTGTTATATATTTTAGACAGTTCTGAATGGTAGACAAAACTACACAGTAGTGATGCCCAAACTTCAAATTAGGCAAGTTTCTTAGTTTAGAATGAATAACAGACCCTGCAAAAGTAGTAGAGGTCAAAATACAAATTCCAAATCACATTCATTCATACGCTCAAAGTACTACTATGAAGCCAAAGAAGTCTCTATACGCTGCCATTTTCCTGTCCATGGTTAATGACTGCATGCTATGCCGACACACTGCAGTTACCGAGAGCTTTATATACATATTTTACATTGAGCTTAAGAAAAATTATGCTCCGCATGTGTTGCACTAGTATTACAGTGATTTTAAATGTGTTCCCAGATTTTTAGGCAAACCATGTGTGTTTTCAGTTCCATCGTGGTTTTCTTATTTTGGTTTATAAGCTTGGCAAGATGCTTTTTTTTTCTTAATATACTATCAATAAGTTCTTGGAAAGAACAATTTAAATCTGAAAACAAACTTTGATTTTTCCTATTATATTTAGTAAAAAAATAAGGTTTACTGTGGGGTTATTTATTAAACTTTGCTGCATGGATGAGATCTCTGTATTTGCTTTTTATGCAATCTGAAAAATGAGTTGAAAAGGATTTCTGAAAACTTGGTTTGTTTCCTTTCAAAATTCTTCTCTGTCTGCCACCAATAACCCTCAAAGTTTTCTTGATTTTACACTAAAAATGACAAGAATGTAAATTAGTTTCCTGGTTTCATAGAAAGGTGCCTTGGGAGTGGAAAAAGCTCGTGGATTTTCATTGGGAACTCTCCTGTGGTATAATTAATGTTCTTTTTTTAAATAGTAACAAAACAAGTGAAAATGCTTTAAAGTCATCCATATTTACATATTGTGTCCAGAGTGTTTCTGGTATAACTGAGAATATAAACCAGTGTTCTCTATATGTACTATACCCTCAATTCCCTCAGATGCTTTCTGACCTCTTTCAGAAAAGAACTTACACTAAGGTTTTTGCCATCTTATATCCACCCCCATTCTCGTATTTTAGTGTCTCTGGTAGCTCAAAAAATGTTAATTGTGACAGGGTAACTGTTATTATGCAAATTATCCTGATGAAAATTTCATCTGACAGCATCTCTGGTATGATTCCTCTTTCCAACAGCAAATCCACAGCAGCCTTTGCTGTACCTATATGGGCTAGGCTTGTTAGTTAGGTGTTTTCCAAAGATCCCCTGTTTCTTTTTGGATAAAATGTTACCAACACATCCAGAGCCAATGACTGTGATAGTCACATAGGCAAGCTCTGTGACGTTAAAAGATCCTGAACTTTTCTTGTCCTCAGGAACAAAAAGCGAGTCTTATATCTATTTCCTAGTTATAATTGGAAAGTAGAGTAAAGGTAGCAAGAGCTAGGGTGCTCCTGCAGTATATCAATCAGATTTATGCCAAAACTGATCTAAATTAAAACAGAAGTATCAAAGGTTGCTAAATGAAACCTTCAGCACTGTAATGAGAAGTTGATCTGTACTTTTCCTTAAGAGGTCACTGAAGCACTCCCTTTCCCTCAGGGGCCTTGTAATCAGCTTGCCATGAGACAGAGGTACCTTCAGGAACTAAATGGACGTCCAAGAATCCCAACCAGGAGTTTGGCCTGAACAGCCAAGATTTTTACAGCTCAGTTTACAGCCAGCTGGAGATACTACTAAATAGTTAGCAGGGATATGACAGTGCTGAAGAGGAGACCTTATCCCACAAGTGTTTGTATATTGTTTCATGGTTTGGCTACCTAGTATCTATTCAGAAGCAGAGAAAAGCTATATTTGTCCTTAGACATAATTTTTTTTCCTCTGTGGCATTTTTAAGACAAAACTAATAATAGAAATCTAAGAGGCTTTGAAGCACCATTCTCCTTGCACTCCCTTTGTCCCCCCCAAATTCTCATGCCATAGACAAGATGCTTTTCTACCTTGGTGTCTGGAGCTTCTATTTTCATGTTTTAGAGCGGTGAAACAGCTAGTTTCATATTTATTTTGACCTCCAACCACATTTATTGTGCAGTTTTTCTGTCCTCTTTAAGATTTGTTTGCATTGTTGAGCCAACTAATTAAAATATTACAATTGAGCAGCGGCACCCATCACCCCTTTAAAAACATTTGTTTCTTTAAAATCAATTTACAGAGTATGCACTACATTAATATATTGTTTTGTTCCTGTGCCTTTCCTGTAACCATTAGAATACTTCCCTCCTTTAGTCTTGTAGTGATTCTGGATGGCAGTGTAATCCTCAATGTATTGACATGAACTTCAAAAGTTCTCTCCTTTGTTAATTTGGATAAGCAAAGCACGTACCTATGAATCACATTAAGATCATTAGGAAATTTCTAACCTTGGTTCAAAAAACGTTTTCTTTTATTCTCTCAAACACAAGCACTATCATATCTTAGCCTTTTCTTATACATCGAGGTGTTTTTCTTCTCCACACTTTTAAAGTAAACTGTAGCTCAGAATATTAGCTGGAACTGTACTATCTCTGCGTACAAGGTGCAGGTGTTGTTCTGTTTTTAAGTTTTATGTGGTTCATGTAACTCTGTGAGCAAAGGCCTTGAAATTCATTTACTAATCACAGCTGTGTTAGTACTGACCAGTGAGCATTGAACACATAGTGGTGACCCATTGCTCCTTCACACGAAGAAGAATGGAAACCATTTCATACCCCAGTGATCTGCAGCCACTGCAATGAGTCAGAGGTGTTACACAGTGTTAATTTTCTGCTCTCAATAGGTGCTGGACAACAAAGCCTAGAAATGGTGCTTTGAGATGTGCTACTGTATATACACTACATAGAATGGAAAAAATGCTTTTCAGCTTCTTGGCCCTGTACAGAAGAATGATGTTCTGCCAAGGCTGCTGGAATGCAGTGTCCTTTTAATAATTCGAAATCAGATTGCTCACCGTGGTTTCCCCCATGCTGTATGTATGGTGTCCATTCTCAAAGCTTGTTTAGAACAGGTATTTTTCAATGAGGTACCATCCACTGAAAGTAGGTGAATAGTGAAAGTCTGACTTAAGAGCTCCCAGGTTCCCATAGATGGGTATCCTTTGCTGAGTCTGCTGGCTGGATATTCTGAAAATCTAGTTAGGGCAGATGCTCAGTGTTGTGTACTATTACTGAGAGGGAAAACAGTTCTCTCTGGAGAGTGTTAGCCCGCAAGAAAGAAGTGTGAGTGGCAATAGGCTAGGAATGTAGTTGTCATCTTCAGGCTTACTGAGTTATAGAAATTATAACAACAAAAGTAGTTGGCATATGACAGAGTGCCATCTGAACGCTTGGGGTTTGCTGAGTGTTTTCACTACATCTTGTTTGGAGAAGCAATTGCATTTGGATTTAAGAAGTCAGTAAGAATCTCTGCTTCTTGTCAAACAAGAGATACTACAAGCAGTTGCTGCTTCCAGTAAAGCCCTACAGAAGACTTGACTCATCAAGAGCAAGTACCTATAGCTGATTTACTGCTCCATAAGCAGCAGCACTTCCTGATTCCCACTGAGTTCATAACAGGACTGAGTAGCAGTTCCTTACATAGAGACACAAGTTCCTTTTTCCCCTATTGATGCAGTACCTCCTGTTAGTAAGAGTTCAACAAAAGTGGGAGTCTGTCCTGCACAAACAAGGTAAAGGTGCCCAGGGAGTTTGAAACCATTCCTCCTTTCCTCACATCAAACATTGTAATTATAGTAATTGCAGTTCATTTAAGCGCAACAATAACATAAAAATACCTAGAAAATGTACAGTCAGGAATGTTCCAACAGATGCATTTGTATTATGAAACTTTCCTCTCTTGGAAGAGAGCAGTAATTCACTGCTGAGGAACTTCTAAGTTGCGCAGAAAAAATCTCCCATTTGCATGTCAGTATTCAAAGGCAAATCTATACCATAACTTCTTCAGTAAGCAAGGTTTCAGGCTGACCAAAAATCTTCATGCTGTTAGTTTGCCCTTGTTGCTATTTCTCTAAATGTGCCTTTTTTTTTTTTTTTTACTTCAGCAGAGTCATCAATGTGTTGAAGACATATATTTGAAAGGTGGGGAATTAGTGGAAGAATTGCAACTTTTTGAAGATACAAACCTTTCTGTACTTTTCTTGTTACATACCTGGAAAATCATAAAGGGTATGTATCATTTCAGGTTTGGGGTTTTCTAAACTTCTGCCTATATTATAAAGTATTGATCATTTTCAGCAGCATAGACGAATTCACTATCAAAGCACCTGACTGAAACATACCTAAGGCTACAAGTGAAGGGGAAGCAGATATGAAGGTTTAATTAAATTTGAAGGATTTGAATGTTATGACAAGTAAAAATAGAAAATTCAACTAACTTGCATTTGTACCTTCCCCCTTCTTGATAGATGTATATGGCAGGTTGTTACAGTTAGGTTTTGTTACTATTTAAGTTATTGGTTGATCATTAATAGTTACTTTCATTGTTTTTTTTTAATTGTATGAACTTTTACTTCAAAATAGTATGGAACGTGAAAAATTGTACCAAAACTAAGAATGTATTGACACCAAAAATTAATTTTGATTGCACTCACTTCAGTGAGTTTGTACTGCATTTATATAGGCTCAAAGTATCACTCAAGCTATCAGTTGGTACTCTAAGTGAAGTTTCAAGGGTGACTTTTTCATAACTGTGCAAGATTCTATAGATAGAAGCAGTAGGTAGCACTAAACACCTAAAAGTGTTTTTAGAGAGTAGAATTAGCATCTTAGCAGTGAGGAGTACGTCAAGTGAAGGGCCCCTTTTTAGTTAAGAATGCTGAAGAAATGAGATATAAAATTATTTCCTTGACTCTGGAAGGTAACAATTTCTTCAAAGAAAGTCAAGGAAATCCTTTTTAAAGTAGAAGAGGAGAAAACCATTTAAAATTTGAGAATTTCAAGTGGCTTTGGAGCAAATAGAAATCAGATTATTGAAATGCAGCATGCTTACTCTTGTTTCTTCTCTCTAGAAACTTCATCCACAGTTCGTCAAAATGCAACGGAATCTATTACATGGTGCATCTCAGCTGACGCATGGGACGTGTTGGTTTTTTCCTCACACTACTGTCTTTCAGTGCTTAAAAGGACAGTCCATGTTGTCTAATGTGGGATGCAAAGTGATTTTAGCACTGGACCCCCCTAAGCGATGTCTTCATGCAGGTGCAGCACACTTTGCCTCAAAGAAAACTGCTTTTCCATCACAGACAGCAGACACTCCTCACAAAGAAGAGAGAAATCCTTCGCCTTCGGCCACTGATACACCCAAGCAGAGCCCTGCGGAGTCAGATCCCTTAGATTCTGATCCATTACAAGACAAATCAATTAGCCTCGCTCAGAGATTCAAGAAAACTTTTAAACAGTATGGAAAAGTCATGATTCCAGTGCATCTTCTGACTTCCACCGTATGGTTTGGATCCTTTTACTATGCAGCCATGAAGTAAGTTGATATTTTGTTGCAGTGCCCAATACCACGGTTGAATTGAGACTGACTTTCACGGATGAAAGGGCATATAAATTATTCTTGCATGTTAAAAAGTGCCTTAATATGTAATGGAGAAATGCATCTACATTTTAACTGAAGTATAAGGTTAATATTGAAAGTATTTAGGGTTCATGAGAGTGTCATGTACATATTGCTGTCATCCAGTTATTGCTGTGTACCAAGTCTGTTGCTAATGTTTGAAGGAATGTTCATCTCCCCAGAATTATGCATGGATATAAACAGCACTAAAATTATTAGTAGCCTCTTAAAAGGTAAAGAGAGGGATTTGGAATCCTGATTAGGTGAGATCTTTATAGACCTTTTCTTTCTCTGCTGTTAGACTTCAGGGTATTTTACCACTTCTTCCCTGCTTCATCCCCAGTCTTCCCTCATCCTTATATTTTCATATCATTTGCCTCACTTAGCTGCTCACAAGCTATCTGTATCCTTTCCTTTTTTATTTCTGTTTCCTGTCTTTGCTACCATCCAGTGAAAAAATCGCTACTGTGGGCCAGACTTTTTAATTTGAAATGAAATATTTGTGTGGTTAAAAAATATATATATATAAATTAAGTATTCTAATTTTAGTTTCTTTTAGTTATAGCATGGGCCAGATACTGTTCTGGAAAATGGCATTTAATAGAAAAAAACTACTACATCAACTATGAGCTGCTAGTTTGCTAGTTCAGATGAAAGAGGTTTTATTTATCTGCAAATAGTTTTGCTAAATTTGCTAAATATGAGCAAATGTTTGTCTCTGGACTCCTCATGTTGTATATTTAATAATAGAAAGCATGAAACAAGGACAGTTCCTGGTGGCAAGGATGGGACTCTTACATCAGAATGCCTTACTGCACAAGTGTTTGTTTTAGTTACTCTAACCAGCTGGCATAATTGCCCTTTCTGGGAGCTATAGATCCAAATGTCATTCTAAATTTAACTCATGTCAGAGGAATAAAGGTCTTGAGCTATAAAAATATTTGCTTTGGATGAATGCAGGTTGATGCTTATATCCAGACGTTTCAGATTGAGTGAAGATTACTTTTCTTGAAACTTTAAAACTAGCTGCTAAAGTAGGTATTTGGCAGAGGAAAACAAATATTTAACTAGAAACTAATTATAACAAAGCTTCAGTTTGTCATGCCAGACGAGCAGCACCCTCTGGAAGTGGAAAAATAACTTTCAGAATGACTGCTCATGATACGAGACTAAACAGTGGCAGTTTATGAAACAGCACGGTTAGTGCTGTCTGTCAGATCTTACTAGGTCTCCATTTTCTACTCTGGCAATGGGTCTTCAGATTGTAGGTTCTAGTAACTGTTAGTAAATTACTGCCTGTTATTGTTCCTGATGCTAAAGTGACTGCATGTTCAGAAGAATGCTTAAATGATTAGATAGAAATGGAAAATGATACTAATAATACAGCATCTCTGAGTGTTTGAAACTCAGGTCTTCTATAACTGCTCCATACAGTTTCTAGTGTAATATAAAGATGGACTTTCTTTTTTCCTTTGGTGCTGATGTTAGCTTCCCTGGCTTTCACACAGAAAGAAATTGTGATAAGAGCTCCCTGCACCCATCCTAACACCTTATGTTGACAAGGTATAGCAACTGAACACAAAGCCCCGTAACTCTTGTCCATATAACACCTTATTTCCTCTTCCTTTGCCACACTGCATTTGTTTGATATATTTGGAAATCAATGGAGAACATTGTCTGAAATTTTAAAAGGAAAAAAAGTAATTTTAGGCAAAACAGAACATGAAATTGAGCCTGCACGGCTGGAGCCTAAGTAGCTGTCTTACCACCTTTATATATACTTACCTTCAAACATAAACTGGGACACAGGTGAGTTAAAAGCTACTCAACCCAACAAGGATAATATAAAGGGGTCACCTTCTGGAACATTGAACAGATGTTCCAAACATTAATTTGCCCACTTGTTCAGAAAGATAAATCCTGTAAGTATATTGCTTAGATGAAAAAAATTCTTTGCTCTCAAATTACAAAGTTTGTGTAATAAAGAATGGAAATACTGCTCTAAATAACTGTTCAGGTTTCAAATTCCAAATCAAGTTACCAATTTTTTTCTCTTTTGTAGTGGGGTGAATGTTGTTCCATTCCTAGAGTTGATTGGCTTACCAGACAGCGTAACAAACATCCTGAAAAATTCCCAGAGCGGAAATGCACTAACTGCGTATGCATTGTATAAAGTAAGTATAAATTTGGTTTGTTTATAAGCTCCAAATCTTGCCTGGTAAACTACACAGGGTTGGCTCGTTTATAGCAGAAAGAATTCATTAACTTTCTTTGATAATTACATGTACTTGAGCATTCATTTTTGTAGTAAAAATATTCACGTGCAAGTTGATATGTGGTGTGTGTCCTTCAAGGAGTCTATATATATTTCTAAAATAACTTCTTCACTGCAGGACTATTGTCTGCCCTCTGAGATCTAATTAAAACTAAGTTATTCTTCTGTATCCCTGACATAATTAACACGGACAAAGAGGTAAAGTCTAAACACCTCGTTGAATTCCAGATAGAAGTACAGTTATTTTTACCCTAGAGGATTCTCTAGTTTGTGTTTCTACCTTAGTTACTCGTCACTGTCAAGTATTTTCATTGTCTGTTTGAATCAATTAGTTACATTCAGGTTTGGGTTTCTTTTTATTGCTTTATATGTGCACAGTCTGTGTTTGGGAAACTTAAATCATGTCAGACCATGCGAAAATAAGGTATTACATTTGCTGAACATGCCAGTATTTTTTTTGTTTACAAATGTGATGTGCTTCTTATGTGTTTAATTTAAAGGAGTTACTTTTCCAAACAAAATGTGGAAGTACTACTCTTCACAATTATTCCTGTGCCTAAAAAAAGACCAGTAAATAAAAGTGGTAAAATATAAAGGTGTTGTTATAGCTGAGAGATCTGGCAGTGTTGGAAGAAACTCAGTGTTCAGGTACTGTTTGTTCTGAGTTGCGTTCTGAGATGCCTAATGCTTGTCCCACAATCTGCACATGGAGGGTTTGTGTGGTGATGTTTTTTGTGTTTGTTTTTTTTTTTTTTAATGGAAGTCTAATGCCCTTGCTGTCTCTGTCAAAATGATACTTAAAGTAGAAGGTATGCATTCTAGAGGATGCTCTGTAAGTTGGTTTATTTCCATATAAATTGAAGATATCTTTAAAATTTGACACTGGTCAAAATAAATGTTCAGCATTAAAAATACCTTTTGCTGTATGTTATTGTCCTGTTTTATTTATGCAGTGTGTTCTTTGATTTCTTTAAGATTGCAACTCCTGCCAGATACACTGTGACTTTGGGAGGAACATCCATCACCGTTAAATATCTACGTAAGAGTGGCTACATATCCACACCACCACCAGTAAAGGAATATCTGCAAGACAGGATGGAGGAAACAAAGGATAAAATTACGGAGAAGATGGAGGAAACAAAGGATAAAATTACGGAGAAGATGGGGGAAACAAAGGATAAAATTACGGAGAAGATGGAGGAAACAAAGGATAAAATTACGGAGAAGATACAAGAAACCAAAGATAAAGTCTCATTTAAAAAAATAAAGGAGTAGGAGAGATGCTTAATTTTTGGATATATCAAACAGCACTTTAACCCTTTGTGAGGCAGGATATGCAAAGTGCACTTCTGAGCTTTCTTCTTTTCTTTTTTTTTTTTTTTTTTTTTTTTTTTTTTTTTTTTTTTTTTTTTTTTTTTTTTTTTTTTTTTTTTTTTTTTTTTTTCTTTTTTGTTCTTTTTGGGTTTTTTCACTTTGTCTGGAGACAACAATTGCTATGGGGATTTAAAGGTTAAAGTTCCCTGGGGGAGAATTGTGACAAAATCTCAGTTTACAGAAGGAAAAGTGAATCTCGTGCTAGAAGTTAATATGTCCATTGGTCACAGTGTTAACAGTTACTCTTCCCTCTTTTTTTTTTTTTTTTTTCCACACCCTCCTTCTCAAAATGGAGATGGTTTCTGCCAAAAGCCACTGCTTTATTCTTCTTCCATTGTCGTGCACAGCCATTATTCCACTAGTCTCTGAACCTTCCATTAAATGAGAATGAAGATTTCTCTGCTGGGAAAGGCGACATGTTTAGGTTTTTAGAGTATGTGGACCCAAGCCTCTTCAATCGTGATCATCTCTCAAGTTGGAGACAGACCATTGTCACTGCATTGATACTGCACATGAAGGAATCGATGGATTAGGTACTGGGGTAGCCAGAGTGAATCACAATGGCTACACTGACTTCAGCTGGGCTGCCATAGTTTACAGGTTGAGACTATGAATCTTTCTTGGACAGTGCATGTTTTCAGAAATCTCAACTGAAAGCTTTAGGAAGATAAGTTAATCACAGTAGCCATACTGTCAAGTATACTTTGTTTCCTAAAGATGATTTACAATAGAAAGTCACTAAATGAAATTAATCAATAATTGTATATTAAAAACTAGGATTTGTTTATTGTGTTAAAGTTTACAAACCTGCTCTATTTCATTTTTGAAACAAATAAAAAACTTGAAAGATAAGTTTATTTGAGAAATTGCTGTACTAAGGGGCTTTTAAAACACACAGAAACTTAGAGTTAAACCCAAGAGTTCCTGCTACTATTCAGAAATCCCTCAGACTTCAGTAGAACAATTTGAGTAAAATAAGCATGATTTTTGAGACAGTGATCACAGTCTACCAAACTTTTTTCCCCCTAGATTTTCTTAAGTCAAGCAAACACTTACTCATAGCTGAAGGCTGAAATACTGCCTCAGAGATGTCATAAAGGACTAAAGTTGAAACTGTTCTATTTGACTGGGCAGGCAGACTTCTCTCGGTCTTACTCAAATAAGGCTAAATTGAAAGTGTTTTTTCCTGTTTCTACTACAAATCTCACTTGGTAGCAACTCTGCATGTGTATGTTGTTTATCAAAAGTGCTTTTTTGCAGGGGAGTAGGGGGAAGGAACAGAGTTGGACCCTGAGCATTGTGATTGACTAGAGTAAAAGAATATAGCTGATGAAGCATCAACTCTGTCCCACTGTCCTGTTTTCATTCAAGTCACTGAGGGCCTTTCCGTGTTTAAGTGAGTTGAGCTTCATTAACTTAATTGTGCAGAATTGATTACATACTTCTCTGCCTCTGCCCACATGTCAAATAGTAACTGCGATCTAATGCCCACCTCACAGGGATGTTGTGAGGAATAATCATTGTATATTCAGTGACCTAGAGATGTAAAGTGCCATGTTTCTGATAAACATTATTAAAAAAATATTTCTGTGAACTCTTACGCTGCTGATTACTACTGTAGGGTTAAACTTAAGAGATACTATTTTGTTTTTTGATTTTAGTGTACTTTTCCTTACTGTCCCCGTGCACACGTTCTTCTGATGTTGGCATTTTTTCTGTTTTTCTGCTTCTGGGGGCAGTGTTATCTGTGTCCTGCAGAATCCTGCAAAGCCTGAAGTCTGCCTCAGTAATACTGCATGGCCATTCTCAGTCTGAGGCCAGATGTGGGGCCTTCTTGGTGCATCTCTCAGGATCCATCTCTTCTTTGCACATGGCAGGGATTGCACAGGGGCGCCTTGGTGTGCTACAGTAAATGAATGTTGATCCACTGGATGCCAAGCAGGTACCCAGCTACACTGCAAATGTAACTATTGCATAAAGTTGACTTTCATCCTGTATCTCTCTTATAAATTAATTTCCATAGGTCTTGCCACAATACTACGGTGCAGTTCTTGTTAGTGATTAAGACTCAGCGTGACTCTGCATGGCTGGAAGCTGTGGTCCACCCTGCTTTGGAGGGGCTGTGTGCCCAGGCTGTGCTGACAGGCTGGGGCCAGGAAGGGGGAACCTGGGGACAACACAGGATCTTCTCTTACTGGTGCCCAAGCCAGCAAAGTTGGCACACTTGTGCCTCAAGGGGGACCAGCATCACTAAGTGTCTTTGGCAGCACAGGAGGAACGGAGGAGCAGGTGCTGTGGCCTGGAAAAGCAAACACTTTTTGGCTGCAGCACCCAGAGCTGGCACTGAGGCAGCCCACAAGGGACCTGAGCCAGGGAGTGCCCAGCAGAGTGCCAAGAGTCCTTGATGAGGTGGAAAGCCCAGGTAGAAGCCCATCAGCACCTTCCATTGCCCACAGGACCATTCAGTCAGTGTTATCAGGGGTTGCCCTTTTCCCCAGGCAGCTCAGCATCCTCAGGGCTCTTTATACCTGTCCTTAAGGCTCTGGAGGGGTGGGTGGGGGTTGGGGTCCCTCCACCTCTGCAAAACTTCAGCAATCTGCTGAGACCAGGACTAAAGTATCTGTCACCTCGTGTACAGCAGAGAAATAGCTGCTTTGGCAACTTACCTCACTTCTGTCTGCTCCCTGTCTCACACACAAACTGCTGTAGAGCATCACCTTGTTTACCTTTGCTATAGGTACATGAAGGCACTGAGTGCCTGCCAGAGCAGAAGCTGGAAACAAAGTCACAGCCCAAGTAGAAGCTGAAGCAGTGCCCAAGCAGGACCTGGAACCAAAGTTATGGCCTGAGAGCTGACAAAGTTGCAGCCTGCGATGGAGCTGGACCTGAAATTGGAACAGCACTCAAGTGTAAGCCTGAGCAGGCTGGGCCCACAATTGGGCTAGAGTCAGAATCACAACCCAAGGTGAGAGTACATGCTGTGATCAGAGCAGGGAATCAGTGCCAAAACTGGGGCCCCAAGATGGAACTAGAGTAGATGTCGAGGTCCAAGCAGAGGCCAGATCTGAAATTACATGCCGAAAGAGGCTGGAGCTGAAGTTGCAAACCAATGCAGAGCCAGAGCCTACAGTCCCACAACTCACTGTATGACTGGAGCCTAAGCTGTGGCTCAAGATGGTGAGAGACAGAAACCACAGCCCAAGGCTGTGGTGGCCCAAAGTAGGGCAGGAACTGAAGTCACAGACAATTATTGGGCCAGAGCCGAAATCATGACCAGAGATGTTACTTAAATGAAGAATAGACTGACGTGGGCCTAGAGCCAAAGTCACAAACCAAACAGGCACTGGAACTGAAGTAGCAACCTGTTGTTAAGCCAGACTTGTCTCAGAGGCCTGAGATGGGTCTGGAGCTGAAATTGGAGGAGCTGAAGTCACATCTTGAGATGGAGCCAGAAATGAAGCCGTGACCCAAGACTTCAGCTAAAGGCAAAGTAACAGCCCAAGATATGACAAGGGATGAATTAACAACCCATATAGGGGTCGGAGCCAAAGACACGGTCTGAGATTGAACCAGAGCCAAAGATTCAGCATAAAAGGCACCACCACTGATGTTGCATCTCAAGATGGGATTGGAGTAGAATTCACAGCCCTGTATGGGACTGGAGCTGAAGTCATGACCCAAAAACTGGATCAGAGCCTAAGTCGTGGCCTCACGTTGGTCAGAAGAAGAAGATGTGGCTCAAAAATATCTGCCACTGGTTGCACATGGAACAGTGCTGAAATCGCTGCCCAGTAAGAGGTCAGAGCCAAAGCTGCTGCCTGAAGCGGGATAAAGCAGAAGTCATGAACCAAGCAGGGATCAAAGCCAAAGTTGCAACCCAGTATTGAACCAGAGACAAAGATGCGGATCGGAAGGTAGCCAGAGTCAAAGACACAGACTGATATGAGACGGGAACTGAAGTAGCAGCCAAGGTAAGAGCTCCAATAGCCTTTCAAGCAAGGCCAGAGCCAAAGTTGTAATCAAGTTGTTGGCAAAGTACCTGGTCAATATCAGGCCAGAGCTTAAGTCACAGCCCAATACAGGGCCAGAAACAAAACTGCAATCAGGTATCAGGCTGGAGCCAAAGCGGCAACCTGAGATGGGAATGAAGCCAAATTTGTGGCCTGAGCAATAGATAAAGCCAAAGTTGTGGATGAAGATGTAGCTGGAGATGAAGTCACAAGCCAAGATGGGGAGAGAGCCAAAGCCATGGCCTAAACAATAGCCGAACAGAGCCAAAGAAGAACGCAGCACAGCAGAGCAATGGCCAAAGCCAAAGTTTGGCCACACATGGGGCTGAAGCCGAGTTTCAGTCCCAGATTGGGCTAACCAAAAATCTTGGCCCAATATTGAGCCAGAGCTGCAGTTGCAGCCTGAGCTGAAACTGCTGCCAGAGATGGGGCAGGAGGTAAAGTCTCACTCCAGTATCTCTACAAAGCTGAGGTCAACAGCTCAATTTGACATGAGTGCTGAAGTCACAGCCCAAGCAGGGGGCAGAGCCAAAGCTGCTGCCCAATATCAGGCTGGACCCAAAGTCACAGATCAAGACAAGGCAGAGCAGAGTCAAAGACCAACCGGGGCAGAGGAGACACGGGAGCTTGAGCTGAAGCCGAAGTCACAGCCTAATATCAGACTGGGGACAAGTTCATGACCCAAGATGGGGCCAGAATCAAAGTTGTGACTCAGGATGGGGGCTGGAGCTGTGATGATTGCTGAAGATGGGGTAGGAAACATGGTGATGGCCCAAGATGGCTCCTGATCTTTACTCACAACTCACAACAGAGATCAGACCTGAAGTCACAGCCTGAGATGGGACCAGAGCCAAGATCACCATCCAACAAGGAGCCAGAGCTGAAGTTACAGAACTTGGAAATG